AGACAATTTTATATCTATAGATTAATAGTATCTACGTTTATGATATTAGTTAATAAAAAACTACAAATATCCACGCCAAATAAAAAAAATGTACAAATTGATAATTCATAAAATAATATTGGCACATAGAATTATACTATTATTAAACTTATAATGCAGTGAGATACCAACATAGGACAGACCACCCCTACTTTCCTGTGGGTGTCATAAGAGACAACTAAAGCAATTTATTGGTCGAGAGATGGGCAGCAGTGTCCTGCTTAAAACGTTACCAAAGGCTAACTGCGTTTGCCAAGCGCCTGCCAAGCATGGGAACTACTGGCAACCCCCTCCACTATTTTATGAGGGAGGCCCATGTTAAACAGCGGACATTTAACGGTTGATATGATGATGATGACAACGATGAAGCTTATATTGACGACATAATTCTGCAAATTGAACAATACGCAAATTATTAATTCCCATAACATTTTATCCAAAAAGTCTTAATGTTTCGAAAATGTCAAATAGTTAATCCAGCAGTAAATCTTTAGTTCTTATGTTATTTATGATAAATAATTCATTTGGGCAGAATGAAATAAAAGCTGTGTTACGTGTATTCGTGTAATCTGTTAATCAGAAGGGAGAACCATAAAATGAAATTATATTTTGTACAATGATTTACAATGATATTTATTTGTAACGCAACTGTTCTGAGGTTAACGTGATGTATTTATATAGCATCATGCGGTTTTGGGGCAGTGAAAAGGTCAAAAGGTTTAGCAAAGGTCCAGTCAAATATCGAATGTCCGGTAAACATACTCGTTTTATTAGACATATACGTTATAGCGGTTCTTACAATAAGCATAACTTTATTTTTACATTATACAAGTTCGATTTAATATATCGTCAAAACTAACAAAAACAATAACAAATATTTCCAAATATATATACAAATAATACAAATAAAAATTACGCTGTTCGTTGATAAGCTTCGCACGTGAAAATAAATAGATCGATTTTTTATTTATGTTTTTAATAGTTCAATTTAGGTTTTAACAGAAAGAAAAAAATTGGAATTTGAACGAATGAAAACGCACACATTTGAATTACTCTACTCTGTTAAAAAAACATTGAATAAACGTTTTTACTCGCGTGAATAAATATATAAAGATTAGGACATAACCGACCAATGTATCAAATTTCATTTCAATCTGTTCAGTAGTCGTTACATGAAAGAGTATCTAACATCCATCCATCCATGTTACAAACTTCCGTATTTATAGTAATAATAAAGCGAAAGAGCTTGTTTTTTTTGTCCCAAAAAGCTGATCTCTGGAACTACTAGTCAGATTTGAGAAATATATTTTTTGCATTTGATAGCTCATTTCTTGGTGAAAGTTATAGACTATTCAATATCTCGTTATGATCACGTTCGAAGCCTCGGGATACGAACTAGTTGTCTATAACTTATTGTGTATTTGATGGCATTTAAACGTAACACTAACTAGACTAATCGCATTTCGCCGAGCCGTAACTGATCTGTGGTTGACCATTTTAGGACTTAATTATATGACAGGGTTGCCCCCTGTCATATCTAAGCATTATCGAAAGTTAATAAAAAATAACTGGAAAAATATCAACCAGTGTTCTTACTTTACCAAAATAAGCCGAAGGGAAGGGGGAGGGGGAAACATTTTTAGTAATGCGGACTACCAGTCCCTGTCAGGTCAACCTCTACATAGTCCCCCTGTCTTTTTATTCTTACCTATCATCTCTCACTAGTGCCCCGCCAGCGTATACCGTTAGCGCAGCGCAGGCGGGGTTACCATTTCATTACAATCCATTAAAAAAAATGAGGCGTATAATCATTACGATAATATAACTTACTTTAGACGCTAAAGTAAGTACAACCACTACATAAAGAATCATATATCTTTCCACCATATATGATATAAGCCCGACGATGACTGGCAAAATAGCATTTACATTTATTACTATCTTCGAATCGGTTTGGTAAAAAGAGTTTTCCCTATATAGGTTTTGTGACGGTAGTGGGTGGAAAATTCACTCGAGAGCATTTATTATACCTTATTATAGGGTTCCGTAAATTATTACTCTATCCTCCCTCTTACTACACTAATATAATAAATGTGAAAGTTTGTATAGACTAATGTATGTTTATCATTCAATCACACGTAAACTGTTTAATGGTTTTGAACGAAATTTTATACAGATATGAATTATGTTCTAGATTAACACATAGGATACATAAAATAATCCTAATTCACAAGGGGGCGTTGGATGAGCTATTACTTTATAGGTTTACGTAAAATTAACCACCGGACAAAAGAGAAATGTAATTACAATTTATGTTGAATAATTTAGAGGCCAAAAAACATACATGGTTTTATCTACGATTAAGACAACTAAATCATCTGTCTACGGTACCCTAAAACACGGTAAGCTTCGTTTTATACAGATTATGCATTGCGACATTTACATCCATATCTGTAGTAATATCATATTTGCATATTAAATATGACTTTTAACAGATAATCAATGTGCCAAGTCCATGCTTGTATTAAGGAAAAACTTTCAACGTTTCCGATATTACGTTTGTGAGAAATAACGCCACTATAAAAGTATCACATGTTTGTTTATTTATCATTTTCTCACGTCGTAATCTAAGATATACTTTGAAACAAAAGAATATAAAGGTGGTCAAGGTACACTTATGACCTTACAGCATTATTCTCAATTGTCAAAACAATCACTCGTCGGGCTTAGCGTTTTTTTTTTTCAAAAGTTGCGGTTGCAAAGCGAGGTGTATGAGACAGTATGGATTATTTACGATAGCACATGTTAAATGATTGTGTCCCACAAAAAACCGATTTCAATTGTGACAAAACCAGTTATTTTATCTAAAGACTAAACTATAATACTTGTTTTTATAAAATTTCTATGGAACCAATCTGTAAATATATCCATCGAGATAAAAAAGATTTTTTCAAATCGGTTCACAACTGACGGAGTTATAAGGTAATAAATATTAGAAAAAAAGAATTGAGAACTCCTTTTTTTGAAGTCGGTTGAAAACACTAATTAACCTTAATTTAATTATTTAAATTAGCTGTTGTCATATTGCGACTGGAACAGGCTCAGTAAAATAAGTCTGTTTACCAGCAGATAAAAAATTACCTTTTGGAAAACTTACAAAGTTAAAAGGCACGGAGGCTTGTATAAAATGCACAGTGAAAAGTAATTCCTGCACTAATTAGTTCAATCACGCGAAAATGAATTTAAATTAAAAATATTCCATTTTAAACGTATTTTAAATGTCAATATTAAATCTGAAATACGAATCCATTAATATTATGTTGGTACTCGTCCATTCCAAAGATTTTAATGGCTTCATTTACATTCTCTAGGGTTTAAGAAATATTCAAAATCCGGTACGAGAACGTTAACAAATTTTTGCAAATTTATTCTAACTGTCAATTGTATGCTACGATCGTACTTAATATCTCCTCTAGTACTTCGATACAAATCTGTTAAAGCAGCAATGTGACACACCAAATCTTTACTAATATGATTAATATTATATTGATGATTGATGTCTATTTGTTTGGCCCTCTTAGCGCCTTAACGACTTAACTAATAACTTTAAAATTTGGTATACATGTACTATGAAACGAAGGTCATACTCGTATACTACTTTTTATCCCGGTCAGTGTACATATTTTAATTACGTGAATTTACTGTCAGGAGTAAAAGTTAGTAAAGTGCATTTTTATTTTTAAGTATTACATAATATCTGAAAACGTTCTTCTTTGTACTTTTTATTAACTGTTAGCGTTTTGCTCATTTATTTGGCCTTTTTTTTCTCAATGCTCCTTAAATTTAATTAACATTTCTAATAATAGAATCACATCACAATCTTAACCCAAAGGCCCCGCCCGTGTAATCTGTTCGAAAGGGCAATATCCGCCAAAAGCTCATTTTATCCTATCATTTCGCACTGATGTCTCGCTAATGTAGACGGAAAGCACAGGACGGAAGATTATTGCTTTTTAAAAAAAATCTTCAAGGGGTTCTTAAGACCCCAATTCACTGATGAGCTATGCAATAAGTTAAATATTTTAGTACAACTGTTTACAATGATGCTTACGAAATTATAATAATTACCATCTTTGTTGTTTGTACTGAAAATATAAACACGTTGTCACCAGGCAACTTGCCCGGAGCGGCAAAATTCCTAGATCGGGCGATACACACTATCTACAACTGTTATCTTGATTGAATGACGACGATGAACAATCGAATTATAAATTCACAAGTTGTTTTGGTTTTTTCATTGTTTGATCATAATGTCAACCAGTATTATCAGAACAAAAAAACCATTACAAGCAGTCACTTAACTAAATACATTAATTTAAAAAATATATTAAGCCATAAAAATATTTACCGCCTTATTCACGAAAACGTTAACGACCTTACCACAAAAGTTACAGGTGTTCATTACATATTTAGACGTCTTGCTATAAAAACGTGTCTAAGACCTGTTTATGGGGGGGAAGGGATTGTTAGTAATGGAATCTAACTGCTGACTACCACGCGGTTACCTTTGGAAACCGTAGTGGTTAAGTGATTTTGAGATTAAGTTATAGTGGAATCCGTCACGATGGAATGACTGATTTACTTTCATCCTCACCTATCATCCTTCACTGGTACCCTGCTAGCGTTCACCTATAGTGCAGGCGGAGTAATCCTTTCATTATCACCCATTAAAAAGAACATATGTTGGTATATGTATATACATATATATATATTTATATGGGTATATATAGGTACTTTATAAAGTAATTTCAAGTATTGAAAAGTTTATCTTTTTTCTTTTGCGCTAAATTCTTAGTTTGAAAGAGTAAAAAAAATAGTTAAAGTTAGGTTGCAGAAGGTTTTAGTTTTCATAAATAAAGAAGTCAATGTGTGGAACAAACACATATGCGAACAGTACTTACTGCGGTGAGGATGCGTCATTACAATCGCAAGTGGGCACTCGTCGTCCTCCAGGATGTACTCGGAGTTATCGGCCGCGTCAACCTGTCCAGTATAATGGCAACTTGAAATACGTAATATTCGTTGGTGATAAGGGATGGAGTGGCTCATAAATGTTTCGCATATTTCCTTTTTAACCAACTTCATAAAAGAGCGGTAATACAGTCAGCGCATGTCTTTCTTCTGGATATATATACAAATGCAAATATCGTCGAGTGACCACAGAGTATTTGTGTTCAGACATTTTTTTGTTTCAGTTAAATCTTTTTATTTTATTTTTTGTTTAATATTTTTGTGTAATATTCCTTTTTATATGTTATTGTACTCATGCTTTCCTGGGTGAGCGTATTGGAAGACTGTAAGGCTCACCCAGTGGATGTAATAAATAAATAAATAAATATTTTTGGACTAATTCCGTGTTAATTTTGTTAAAATTGAAGTCCATTAAATAGTATAAAATATGGAATTAAGATACTTCAGTAGCATTAAAGTTTGTTTAGTGCTACATTTGTTCATTATGCTGAATTATCACCTTGTTTTTGATTCTTGTAAGAAAAGCAATTTCTTCAATAATGTCTCGTAGATGGCATCCGCTTCCATAATATAAACCAAATCATCAATTTGAAATTATAACTTATATATTGAAAACTACAAGTAATCACAATACAGTAAGTAATAGTATTCAAATTATACATACACCTATTTGTAATTCATAATATATGTATATGTAGTTTTGTAGCAAGACTTACATAACCAAGAGTCTGATTAATTCGCAAACAGTATTTATTCAGCTTACTCCTATTATTACAAGCATTTCGTAGCAAAGTTCCAGATACCCACTTAATTTACATAGTAAAAGCCTACACAATGTAGTAAGTGGAGAAAATGTTTCACGAACAGTTTCGCAATTAGCTGCCATTTATTAGTATGAATTATTTATTTTTCATTACCACACCCTGTTTTATAAGGAGCCAGGCAACGAGGAATAACCCAGAACAAAACAAGGGTTAATATAGAAAAGTACATTTCCTAAATTGGACCAACGAAAATCGTTCCCGGGACCTCATTTACGCAAACAAGTTGCGCCTAGGTCAACGTCGAACATCCTTATTGAATGGAATTAGATTTAAGACAATAGTTCATCGAAAATATTGAATAAATATTAAAGGTATCTGACATATGTATGTGTTACATTATAATAGAACTTAGTAAAAAAAAAATTAGTCATTCACTCAACCATAGACATTCTAGTAATGAACAATAGTAGTGTAATACCAATCAATAAATCACTTTGAGTTACATTACATTGTATACCTTGATAATATAATGGTTCAGTTGATACAACAAAGTACAGTTAATTTAACGGTTATCGTAAATTTGTCTGATAAATTCAGCGCAAAATATAATTGAAATAAATCATTTTTTTAAGATCTTTTTTATAATACCGTGGACAATGGTGATTATAAACTACTGTTGATATTATTTACCTAACAAACACAAAGGTGAAGTTACACATTCCGTGTGAAAAATATCAAATAAAAATTAAAGAATATTTGTGGAAAAAAGTGGCGAGATATAAAGTAGAAACATACAAAATAAAAATAAATGTGTTGCTATTTCTATATAGTTACACACACACACACAATTCTGTACGTTTATAACACTTATAACAAAACTATATTTAATATAGCTTTCTATTAAATTCAGTTGAAATAATTTTTAGCTATAATTACCTGAACAATGCAGAATTGCTGCGGGTCCTGCCTGGAGAGTCCATATTTATCGAGCATCTCCCGCACCACGGTCGCGGCAGTTTCGCCTACAGATAGCAACAATGTCTTGTACGGCACGTCCGGACATAGCGACGAACCGTAGATTTTCAGCGTACCACCTAATATAAGGAGCAATTTTACAATAATGGGTTTGATTTCATAAAACCATTATCTTAACCTGTAATCTTTTAAAGATTAAATGAAAGCTTTAATTTCATGTTTTAAACAAACTAATTAAGTTACATTACGGACAGTTATTTATCATCGTCATCATCATCATCGTGTTCATTGGTTCTTGGTACATAAAAGATTGCGTTATCAAATACAGTTAATTAACTTTATATTGACCCTTTTATAACATTACCAAAAGTCTATCTGTGGTTGCCAACCTGCCTGCTAAGCGTGGCAACTACTGTAAAAACACCCAATTGTTAACGGCTGATATGATGATGATAAAATGTAATAAAAATTAAAAACCAAAGTACTACTGGTAAATTAAAAATAACATTTCACTACACCACAACTACATCAAACTGTGTTGACGGACATGTATGACATGTCTACGGCCTTATTTTTTGTTTATCCATTGGAATCTATCCAATCTATAAAAATAAACAGGTGCCTGCCGATAATTAAAAGAAAACATATCTGTCCATCAATACGTAATAGAGTCAGACAAATAACTCATTAACGGTGAAAAGAACTATTTATGATACCGATCTCTGAAATAAGGTCTTACTAATACGTGACTATAATCTGTTTTCTATAACTGGATTAAGTATCTAATCCTGGCATGTCTTTTATCGAAATATTGGGACCGCAGGTACTATCCTTAATCTGTGTTGAAATAGGTTTTCAATTTGCCTTGTTGGTAGGCAAAATATATAATCTAACCTTTGTCTATCAAATCTTCCATAATAAGCTAGGTCAAAAAGTATATAATCGATAATGTTTGTTTTAGCAGAGACCTTGAACAAAAGTAATCTGCATGGTTACCTGTCTCATCCGTGTTTTCTGGCATGAAGCAGCTATGCTTACATAGCTATATTTCGTTTCGAAGGGAAGGAAACGACAATGAAATTACAGGATACGGAGGCATATTATGGTACTTAAGAATGACAATACATAGGGTGCCATGGGCTTTACAGTGCATTTTGTGACATTCATGGTGTTCTTCATGTCTATAAGCGACGGTTATCACTTTCCATTGGTTGGTCCATTAACTGGGTAGGCGTTTGCCATTCTAAGTTGAATAAAAAGTGTTTTTTTCAATTAAATTAAATCAACAAATACTATTATTTTTCATTTTTATTCTACTACTAAGTCCATTTTACGCAATATTATTTCAATAAAAGACGCCAATATTGTTTACTAAATATATAAAAAAATATATAATTTATTATACCCATAATTGATATAGTATTGTATTGTATGATTGATAAGGGAACAATAAAACGATGTTTATCCATTCATTTTATACTAAAAGCATTTACAATAGAAAGCACCATCGGCAAAATACCTTACAAAAACATTAGAAAAATACAAATATAAAAAATATTTCTGTTTGAAATTGAACCCTTGTCTTAGTGGAATTAAGTTGAATATTGCTTTATACTTGGAATGGACTAGTATGTCTTCCATAATTATTCACCCCATCTAAAAGCACAAATATACTAAGTACTTTGCGAAGTAATAACAAAAAATAATAATCAAATAATTGAAAAATAGAAAAAAACTACTATGAACAATTTCAGTAAATTACGTATAAAATATTAATTTTACATATAAGGTATTAATACGCAATTTGTTGCCATGGTACTCGCATTTACGACAATTTTACGTTGCAATTAACCAACGTTTAAATTAAAACATTTCGATTTTGGTCTTCTATTAAATAGAAAAATCAACAGCGCCCTCTTCGTATTTTTCAATTAACTAAGACATTACGTTTTTCAGTCCGCGGAGCTGTTTCATGAAATATGTCAAACCAAACAGATGGCGTTATAACAATTATAAAATAAAAAGGTCAACACGATTTTAAAAGAACTACTAAGACTTACTTATAAAATAAAACATTTAATCTTATTAATAATATAATAAAATTGCAAGTAGGCGATATTTTAGAAAATTTGATATACGTCTTAATAGAAGCAACAGAAAAAAAAAAAACAATACTTTTTAGAATTTTTATCTGTTTGTATGTTTGTTCCGGCATGACGCAAAAACTGTTACATCAAATTGGATGCAGTTTTCACATTTACCTTTTTGAAGCTCTAATTTAAAATCTGGTGTATATTTTATCTTGATACGACATCAAAAGATTGTTTTAAAAATTATGCATATGAAGTTATGTATATATATATATAATAATAATATCTATTAAATAATATTATAAACAGGAACAAGTAAATTTGAGTCGATCCTTTTCTACTCGCCCTTTTTAACATTCTGTACGCCATTTTCGAATAACTGTAATTTTTATTTTAAATTATTTACTCTGACAAAACCTCCTTGAATAAAAATATTTTTATAGATTTACCAGTATCGGGCCCGCCATCTTTTGAGCGAAACTGTTGCAATTTTCGCTCCAACTTCTGCTGCCGCCGACGACGCATCACAGCTTCGGGGTTGCTAATGCTGCGTGTGAATGATGTTTCGGGCAACTCTGCAGACAAAACAGGAAAAATTACAAATCATACAAAAAAATATCATAAATGCGAAACTTTGTAAGGAAGGATTGTTGATTAGATGGACGGAGGTGATGCACGTTTGTTTCTCTTTCACAAAAAAACTACCAAACGGATTTGAATGAAATTTGATACACGATTAGGCTATGTCCTAACTTAGCGTATAGGATATTTACATACTAATTTACACGGACGAAGCCGCGGGATACAATTAGTATATTATAAATATTAATTCAGACAAGAATCTTGTTGGATAAGTATTATATAGTAATTCGTTTGAATTCTATATACTATTAGCTTTCACACGCGACTTCGTCCGCGTAATCGGGATATGTTCACTAACTAGAAGAAAAAGTAGCCCTTTACCTTCTCCATCCATTATATTATGTATGTACCAAATTTCATAGCGATTAGTTAATCGGTTAAGATACTAAGAGATAACAAGCGAACAAACACATTTTCATATTTTTTTAATAGCTTTACGACTTGGAATGTTTCCTTACAACCCAAATTTTACCTGTCGGTGCAACGACGAGCTATTTTACAAGCGGTATAAGTAAGTCTTAGAAGGGACTACTACCGCTTATACAACGGACTGTGCTGTGAGGAATTGTACAATATAATGCCAAAGGCCACTTTCTACCATCGTATAGCTCGCCATCGACAGGGAGTTCACCCCCATACCTTAAAGCCTAAATGGTCGCGAACAGTGCGGTTTCAGAGATGTTTACTCCCACGAACGCTCAAGTTATGGAATAAGCTGTCTGTTGAGGTTTTTTAAAAAAAATACAGTATGGGGTTCTTTGACAAAAGGGGTAAAGAGGTTTCTTTAAAGTCGGTAACGGGCGCGTAATGCCCCTGGTATTGCAGGCGTTCATAGGATAAGGTAACAGCTTACCATCAGATGGGCCATATGGTTGTCTGCCACATCGGTGGTATAAAAAAAATTAATATTGATAAGGATGGTTGATAACCTGCGATTGACAAAAGAAATAAGTATCGTCCATTTTATGAGCTCCCTGCCGAGGTTTTCCCAAGAGACTACAGCATGGGGTTCTTCAAAAGGGGGGTAAAGAGGTTTCTTCAGGGTCGGCAACGCATGCGTAATACCTCTGGTATTGCAGGTGTTCATAGGCTACGGTAACCACTTACCATCAGGTGGGCCGTATGCTTGTTTGCCACCTCAGTGGTATACAAAAAACAAAATTTAATACAGTTTAATAAAGATATAACTAAGTTTTGTTGAAATTATCACAGAAACACACTATTTGGGTTTTGGGCTTTACCAGACTGTCTTACAGTCGGGTCAATTATTCTGTTTGTTCACATTTTTATTAAATTCTATTGAAACAGAATATAGATTCATTATACTAACCTGTGTAAAGTTTTTCAGCAACTGGCCGATTTTCATTATTGGTATCAGATTTTAATCTTGACAGTTTCTCCTTCTTTCTTAGTTCCTTCTTCTCCCGTTTAGACAATTTCCGTTTAAAATTTTGATCCCCTTTTTCATTGACTGACGTTAAAGGCACCTGTTGAAGTTAGAATTATTAAGTAATATATAATTTAAATTAAACGAAAAATTTATTATAAAAATATGAATACAATCAAATGAATTCATTATTATAATAATACCATAGACAATATATTTTTTATGACAATACAATAAATGTATTTTCAAATAATAATAATTAAAGTTAATGTAAGTTAGATCAATATTGCATGGTTTATTAAATTACCAATCTCTGATGCAAGAGTGACCTTCTCAGGAGTAGCTATACATAAAAGAGTATTATGGGCGTCACAGTATATTCTGTGAAGTACTCGTATTAATTTGACTACCACAGCACATTCCGTTTGGTGACACGATTAACTAAACAGAAACTAACCTTCCGTTTATTTAACTATATTGTGCACTAACGATTTAATATTGTTGAAATATAATTATAAGGTTACCGTGCTCATAAATAAGGACTCCTATCAAATATGAAACTGAGCTGATAAAAATAGTTACAATAGAGAGAACCTGGCAGATAATGGGCCACCCCTTCCTTTCCCTTGGGTGTCGTAAGAGGCGACTAAGGGATCTTAATGGTGGGCAGCAGCGTCTCTCTTGTAAAATATCACCATAAACCAAACTTCTCCATAGACTGCCATAAGGAACGCTCCTGTTCCTTATGGTAGTCTATGGAGGAGGCCTATGTTCAGCAGTGAAAAGTTAACGGCTGCAATAATAATAGAGACTAACCTCGTTGTTACTAAGACACTTAAGCAGAAAACGTCCTTCGCGATCATCAGCATGCCAATTGAGTTGCACCAATAGCGGCTTCTCGTGCGGTTCCAACCGCCGCTCGTCGTCCGGCCCGTGGGTCTCCCATAGCGAATACGAGCCAAGTGACAACATTCGCATGTCTGGACGGAACTTCTCGATGAGCGTCTCTAAATATAACAAATTAAATATTTTTAGAATAATGAAATACACTTTTCTCAGAAATGACAACGTGTAAAGGGCACCACGGGCATCGTAGCGTATTTGATTCTGTGATATACATAGGGCTGTTCATGTTTATAGAGTCACTGCGTCAGTTATCAATCTCCATAAGATGGACAACTCGACTACCATTTTAAGTTGCATATAAAAAAAATTATAACCTTTTATAGACCAGAAGTTCTCAGACTTTTTGGCAATGCCTTCATAGCAAACAATAAATATTTTGCCGGATTTTTTAATAAGAAAATGCACAAAAAAATATTATTTTATAAAAATAAAAGTCAATGTGCTAAATTCTTTGAGATCATGATATAAAGTTGAATAACATAAAGATTTCAAGCGGAGCCTCAAAACTTTGCAAAACACATTTTAAGTGTGGATGATGGTGGAAAATGAATTATATTATAAAATTAATAAAATTCCAGGTTTAATTTTAATCACTCTCTTTGTATGTTCTAAAATTTCAAAGCAGTTTTTTTTATTTGAAAACTAGTGTAATCGATATTATTCTTAACTTTTTTGTTATTCATTAGCTAACTGTGAAGTAGAGTTATTAAAATCGGTAATATAATCCTTATGAATATATAAAACTAAAAATGGAACAAGCAAAAGATGTGTGTGCGGTTAACTGGCGTGAATATATAAATAGTAAGATAGATAAATTATATTCAATTACAGTTAATTTCCATTTCTACATATCATGAAATATTTCAATTAAAAAGCAAGACAAAAGGTTATCAAAATGTTGCCAATATATCGCTCAGACGTTCATTTTGCAATTTAGGTTAATTACGTATATAATTTAATGCTGTTTAATGCGGTTGGAATTATGCCAGTGACAGGTTTTTCGGTCAACGGCTGTGACAAGTAATTAATCAATATTTTGATTATTTTACTTACTTCTTCACGAGTATTTTTGGCACACAATTACCAGATCTATGACAATATTAGGTAAAAGAGGAATATGCAACATTTTTATTATTTTGTTTTTTTATTTATTTTGAAAATATATTTTGATTATTTCATAATAAAACCAAATATTAAATTATTTTTAAAAATATATTTGATTTTTAGTTATTTGGGAAACAGTATGTACTACCATTAACTATATCATGATGTAATTACACAAATTACCAGCTTTATATACCAATTATAAACTTAAACTGCAAATTAGTTATGTCGAGGATTAGATGTAATGTTACATAAAATTCCTAAACAACTAATAAATCATGATATTTATGAGTCACAATCAATGTTTACATTATGTAGTAAATGATAGTTGATATTATCAAAGTTATTGCTCCAAATATGGTCATCATAATAAGTCAGGTGCAGTTTCTATGGAGAACCTGTTTGAGGAGGAGGCCAAGAGATTCAGGTTAATATAGCCATATTCAAAGTGAGAACCGTTATAAGTGCGTAGTAGTCATAAGTGTGCAGTCGTTTGGTACTCGGGAAGGCAATAATTGTAATTATCATATTACGCGTATACGGTGTCAACTATCAACACGAACTCGACTCAGATCAGATCTCACCTATGACATCGCTGACTGTAGCATCGGACGCAACACGTATGCACTTCGTTGCGATCTTTTGTCCGGAATCTTGAAAATAAAACCGCATCACACCATGAAACTCCAAGTTCTGAAAAAAATGGATGGTATTTTATTTGAATATCAAATATCTAACCAATATTATAAATATGAAAGAAGAGAAGAAAAGCCATTAATATACTATTACCGCGATGGTCAGGCGGCTTATAGGATATAGGGTTTCATTTACTTAATTTTGTATTATTTTACTTGTTATTGTTCATATTATTAGTTACCCTAGTCACGTTTTATGACATAATAAAGAACGGAGTCATACTGTATTCTTTATTTCGTCACTCTTTAAAAATTATAACACAGAAACATTAACTTTTACAAAAAATAAAACATCGTATTTTTCTACTTTTGCAAACGACAAATAAGCTGACCTAAGATAAAATAGTTCAGACAAGTTTGTTCAAAAAGTAATATAGAATTTTACATGTATTTAGTTGTCATTATTGGGTACAGTGTACGGTAATCAAAAATGAGTCAATGAAACGATGATTCACAAGAGTAATCATCCCATCTACTTCAATATTATCTCTGCCTGATACAATTTCTTACGTACGCAGATAAGAAAATAAACAATGAGCAAGATGGCACACGGGTATACAAAATATTTACATCTAGTTCGCGCAATTTAAGTAAACAGGAAAAGAACATAAACACCACCATGTTATTCATAAAAACCTAAATATACCATTAACATATATTTCGCAATTACCGGGTTTTATTGCCCAAAATTCTATTTAGAAACAGCTTAAAAAAGAAGTGTTTCAATACGACTGTATTGTATCGTCTATAACAGTGTTTTTAAAACTTTTTTTATGGCGCGGCCCCCTTAGTATTTAAAAATAATTTGCTACTCTCCACGATTCTTAACCTGTATGCATTTCATTATACTACAAATATCAAATCCGTACATATTTATTTATTTTCATAGATATTGGATAAATATTATAAAATAAATAATACATAATGAAGTATCTAAAACAGGCATCGGTTACGTTGCGAAAGTGTTGTTTTTTTAACGAGTTCGCAACCCCCTTGAGGAGGCTTGCGGTTACGCAGCGGATTGCGACATACATTGGTACACTTTGAAGCATACTATATATATATGATACGATATATATTTGCCATTTATGAGCAGATTTTGATAATTGTTTTTTTAAGTCACACATCATTTTGTACTTATGATAACCATGCTATGATAGGCCTTTAATTTGTTTGCCATTCTGAGTATCATATTTTTTAAAAAGTCAGTTTTTTGACACCAAATCTTAAATTACGTTTACCCCCTGTGCTAGGAATGAAAAACAAGTTGATAGCCTATTGCATGCGTTAACACAACTATTTTGTTTTTTTATTTTATTTTATTCTTTATTGTACACAAATGTAAAACATTTAATTTTAAACGTAATGTAAAAAGGCAAGCTTAACTAAATAATAGCCGCTTTCCATCAGGTGGACCGTATGCTCATTTGCCTCCCTAACAATAAAAAAATACATTATTTTGTAATACAAACTATAGTACAAATCATATTAAAAATATACGTGCAGAGGCAAACTGTACTAAAACCGGTATAGAAGTGGATAGCATTACGAGTCAATGGCCGATAAGACGCGAAATCTACTGAATTAGTGAGAGGAAGTTCTTGATGGTGTTGCAGCTGCAAGTGAAAAATTAAACGATAAAACCATAAAATAAAAGGTGACATTTTATCCAGGTGTTCATAATTTAACTTTGACGGTCATATATAGAAATAGCAACAGTGTGGTCTAGCAACTTACTATTGTTTTTAATAGGCAAGCTTTTTATGTAAGGACAACGTATGTTCAAGCGCAAAGTGAATTATTATTTTAAGTAATGAGACCAGGTGAATTGAAATAATGAGTAACCAAGTACTTGAGATAGGAATTGTTATTCTATGAAATATGTATCCCAGTTATTAACGCGTGCCGTACGCACCTGCGCAGACTGCGCACACAGTCATAACGCTTCCTCACGAGAATTATCAGTGCATTCATGAAATAAGATAAACGTAAGAGACGAAAAAAATGTAATGTAGAATTTAATATTAATAATTAATATAAGATAAAAATGCAAAAATGAGTTTCATTGTTGCTTTTTAGTGTATTAACCACAGAATAAGTAATCATTAAATTGCGTTAACTATTCAAATTCTTTTTTTAAAAACTTAAATTCGAACTGTGTGCAAATTAGTAATTTTTTTTAAATTAAAAGTAAAAAAGAAGATGGATATATATAAGAAAACATAAAACAAGACCTTAAACTTAGAACGAGGTGTCTGTAATTAGAAATTAAATAATGCAAGAACAACCAATTGTTCGCGATTGCAGCTATGCAACTAAAGAATAACATAATGTTTACATAAACAAAACAAACATTATTGAAATTTCTAGGTCTAAAACTACCTCAACGGGACAAGTAAAAGCTAAGACGAATGAGCTTATCACACTTATCGTATATGTGCAATATTATAAAAGTGATCGATGTGCAAGATATAGTGAGGATAAAGACCATCTGTACACAATTCTGTCTACCCACTCTTTACCAGACCTTGTTTAAATATATAGATAATTAATTGGATTTTATCACGATACACGAGTATTTATATTTTTGGAGATATTAATAATTTTAATCAATATGTATCAATTATGAAGAAAGATGTTATTGTATAATTGCACAGTAGATAGGTATGTAATTTAAAATTAGTTGATACTTCATCTAAATAATACAAGAGAATCATAAATAAATCAATAATACGATCTTGAAATCATTATTGTCGGTATTTATCTATAACTGCAAGAAAAGTAACCATATAACTTAAGAGGAGAATAAGTTTGAAGAAAGCCTAGCATTTTAAAACATATTCGGTTAGACTTTGTCTAACTAGAGTCAAGAACATGAACGGTCTACGGCTGGCCTGTACCTACTTAACAGCAGCAGTGCAATCATTGCATACAATGCAATATTCAGAAGCAATGATTCAACGATTAATATTTTACGAGTACGTATTTATAAGAGTAACCAACCTCATTTGGTTCGCTAAGCTCGAACAGGTCGAGACGGTTAGCGTTCCACTGCTGGATCATGTTGCGGAGCGCTTCGCGCTCTAGCATACGCTTGTCGGCCGCGTCCATCGCGTCGCGTCGTGTCGCGTGTCACCGCATGAAGTTAACCTGAAACACCACAACCACAATTATCAACCATCGTAATATATAAAAATACCGTGTCGCGATGTTCGTTTACGCTAATCATCAAAAGCATAACCGATTTCAATATTTTGTAAATGTGGATTGTTTGCTTATATAACTTAATTATGAATTGTAACCTTATTAATGGTAGTCGTATTGAGGTAGAATAGTTTTTACAGGGCGCAAAACGACGTTTGGCAGGTCAGCTAGTTACACTATTAAGTAAAGTAGTAAACTTTTTAGATTTTTTTTTATACAACTTAGAATGGCAAACAAGCTGACGGCCCACCTGATAGAAAATGTTAACCGTCGCCTATAGACATGAGCAGTACCATGGACATAACAGGGTATACTGTTTCGCCCATGATACCCCCCCATGCGTTGCCATTCCTGAGGACTCAGGTGTTATTCCTCTGTACCCAGTAAATTCACGCCATATCCCACCCTTCAAACCGAAACACAGCCATGCAAACACAGCTGCTTCATGGTCGAAACACGAATGGGACTAAGGTACCCAAGCAATCGACTTTTGTACAAAGTCTCCCTCTGGTAGTTTTTAAATACTAGCTCAAACACAGATAAATCAAGGAAAAATAATTCTATTATATGATACTAGCTATAACCCGCGGCTTTACCCACCTTTAATCCATTCTAATCAGTTCAGTGGTTTTTACGTAAAAAAAAATCCATTTATACATTCTTATAAATTCCCGCACTTATTACATTAATAGGATTAATATTGTCACAGCGTGATCAATTAACATACTAAAGGGTGGAACTGTTCCCAATAGGAACCTACATTGTAACTTATGTTATATTGTAGAGGGTGCTAATAGTAGTTGGCAGAACAGATGTTAGCTCTAACACACATTTTTTTTAAATCCATCATTCAAAATTTTCACTTTTATAATGCGGTTTTTTTAATGGGTAATAATGGAATGGTAACGCAGCCTGTGCAATAAGTATACACTGGCGGAGCACTAATGAGAGATGATAGATGAGGATGAAACAAGATAGTTGACATAGTTTAGTAAATGTATAAAGAATTAATCAAGATTGTTTCCTGGGGGAACCACGTGGAGGTCGAACTGATAGGGTATATTGCTGGTAATAGAGCTATTAAATCCTCAATACTAACAATCTCTTCCCCCTACGCTTACCAACCCGCCTACCAAGCTTGACAACTACTGGCAAAACACTCCAAGGGGAGACGTATGTTCAGCAGTGGACAGTTAACGCTGCATATTATGATGATGAAGACCATTACGCTACCTAACTATTTAGTTCAGGAGTAAGTTGGAATTTCTAAATATTTTATACTATAATATTGGAATAGTTTTCTTCCTTATGTAGGAAGAAGAACAATGTATTCTGCAAATGTCAAGTTAGTCAAGTAATTGACACGGTGGGTCTACACAAATAACACTCAAGAATTTAGCACATTAATAGTAAATAACCAGGGTTAAATAAACCCCGTAATTATTTTATAGGAATCATTTAAAATTTTGTCCTGCAAAAAAGGACAGCAAGTTTAATCGTGATTAAAAATAATAGGGGACAACGTGAAACTAGAGCAAACTCTCTCAATTCCAACAAATACATGTGATTTGAGAAACTACTCCTTCCGAAAGTTGCTTAAAAATCAAAACACATATCAAAGCGGTCATTACTATCGGTTGTAGAGTTGTAGCACAGTCGTAGAAATGCACAATCGGAATGTGGACGTAAATGCGTTTCACCCAGTTAGTAGTTATTATTGTCGCTTTCGCCAAAATACAATCACGATGTGTCGTAGTTTTAGTTAAACGTTTGGGAAACTTCCGTAAACAAAAGACACAACAATTTGTAACGTGCACTTATATCTTTACGTGATACTACGTTTAAGATTTATATGGTGAGTTTTGGTAGATAACATCTTGAATCAAGTTTTGAAGAAATATAGAAAAGTTTTTTTCTTGTCTAATATAGATGTTAGTTGTTATACGGGACATCGTCCGTGTGACCAGGATATCATTATATTTATTGGTCAGAATAAAAACTTTACAGATATGAAAAATATGCAATATTTATTATTTACTACATAACTTTTCGATCCACAGACATATTAATTACAAAGCAATGTATCGCCCATTCGATGAAACATTCGATGTACGAGACTTTACATTTTCGGGTACATTCCATAGAAGGCATACGACGTCAGGTGAAATTTAGAAACTACCACAGGAAAATGAGAAAACAGAGACAAGTAAGTAGTAAGCAACCATAGCCAATATAGGCAATGTTTATTCATTATAAATTGACAAAAATGTAGTTGACTATTGGGCGATAAAGACCGATAGCACTAAATTGTACCTAAAAAATAATACCAGCTCTGCAACGTGTCTTATCTCTAATAATAATCCGTTACCTAAACAATGTTATTTCATACAGAATACAGATAAGAATATGAACAAAATGTAGTTCGGTTGTTATTGTCTACTAGTTAGGAAATTTAAATAAAAAAAAAAAAAAACTAATTTCATAGTTACCCTGTTGGGCGAAAGTCAAGTCTAATGTTAGCTGCTCTACCATGCTACAGACAAGATAAAAGATCATTCTATACTCTTATTTTATGGAATTACTGAGAAAACAAAAAAAAAAATTACAGCCCTAGTAAACAAAAATAATAAATAAAATCATGATAGTCAACTCACGGTGTTAACGTACTGAAGGTATGCAACACTATGTGTTATCTATGTCTTATTAAATTTACGAAACACCTATTAAGATATTTTATCAAGGACATAGATAACTAACAATACAATACATTAAAAAGCAATTACCTATAGGTACATTTTTATCCTATTTAGCTTATGCACATGGAACATTAACGAAAAAGAAACAGTATTGAAACGACTAGTCACTAATAGCTGGTATTCCGATACCTGTCATTTTCTTTCGGCGGTTCTGATTGATGTAACTGTCGTTGGTCGAAGTCCTCAATTTACGAAATATGTCGCTGAACCGAAAAAAAGCGGTGAAATTGTTGAATCAAACGCTGTGACTATGGTAACAGTTCGTGGATGGCAATCATAAATTGAGGTCATGCTGTGCTGTATAGGCAGATATATTTATCTGTTTCAGGCGGCTTGCTATGGCATAATAATTGGAAATGCGTTATGAGACAGAACAAATCACAAAACGTATAAAAAAATCAATATAAATAACTTTATTAAATAAATAAATAACTTTAATGTAATTAGAGTGTTTCATACACTATTTGATTTAATTGACTGTATAAAAGCAGATATGAATGTTTGTAGGGAATGAGTCAAGAACAGAACATAATGTACCGACCTAAAATATAAGAAAAATACCTAAAAGATAATAACAATGAGAAAGAGAGAGTACTATCAATAAATCGTGAATTCAGGTAAAACTAACACTACTGAATAAGGTCTGTTGGCCTTACATCGTGCAAGACTAAACAAGGTCATCAATCGCATATTGGTAACTATATATATATATATATATATATATAAATAAAAAAAATCAGGGGGGGAAAGGGATTGTTAGTAATGAAGACTGAGAATCTCATTGCTAGCAATATACCCAACCAGGTCGACCTCCTCGCGGTTCCTCCTGGAAACTATCATGGTTAATTCCTAATGAATTCATCATGATGGACTAACTGACCTGTTTTCATTCTCATTGATCACCCTTCACTGGTGCTCCACCAGCGTATCCCGTTAGCACAGGCGGGGTTACCATTCCATTTTCACCGATCAAAAAAAAATAGGGCATAGTGCTAGCAATGGGACTGTCAAACTCCATTGCTAACAATCCCTTTTCTCCCAGACTACATACATTATACCTTAGCTATCAAGTCTATGTTATGTCCAAAAAGTACGAAACTTTACATAACAAAATACATAATAATTTACCTAACAAAGATACTCAATCAAATAAATAGATTGTTGATTTTAGATCAATAAGGCGAAAATATAAGATAGATAACAGTAATATAGGCTTTGCTACTACGAACAGTTACGACAACCAGTGCTGTCATCAAAGTTTCATAAAAAGTAGTGATCAGAAATTTGTACTAAATTAAGAAATTAATTATCTGTAATTGTAATAATAATATTTATTGGATACTGTTGTAATTAGGTATTAACCAACTGGAAAGATATATCCTAGCACTCATTAATTTTGCACTTGGTCGATATGAAAACTGAAGTGATCTAAATTATCTTTGAAGGTAAATTGAACTAAGCAAAACAACGTGCCATGGTTAGTTAGTTAGCCTACAATCATTATGGCGGTCTTAAAGAGATGAATACACGAATAAGAAGTTTTTTTTGCAACAGTCCAAGTACCGATGGATACGAATGACATTACGTATTTAACTAGCGACACGTTACGGCGTCGTACGGCTTTACTATACTATGCATGTATTATATTATACATATAAACCTTCCTCTTTAATCACTTTGTCTGATGAAAAAACCAGCATTAAAATCCGTTGGGTAATTTGAAATATCTAAGCATACAGACAGCGGGAAACGAGTTTGTTTTATAGTATTTTATAACACCTCAGTCCTCAGGAATGACAACGCATGGGGGGTATCATGGGCGAAACAGTATGCTCTGTTATGTCCATGGTACTGCTCATGTCTGTAGGCGACGGTTACCACTTTCCATTAGTTGGGCCGTCAGCTTGTTTGCCATTCTAAGTTGTATAAAAAAAAACTATGTAAAGTTAATTGATGACGGACTAATGCATGTAAAGACTAACAAAAAATACTACAAATGGCATCGTATCAGCCTTTAACTGTCCACTTGCTGTACATAGGCCTCCTCCGTAAGGGGTTTTGCCAACAGTGGCCACGCTTGACGGGCGGGTTGACAACTGTAGTTAGGCTTTGTAGATATTTTCAGAGCTGCTACCCATCTCTCGACCGTTAAATTTCCTTAGTCTCCTCTTTTACGACACTACCGGGAAAAGAAAGTGATGACCCATTCTATGCCGGGACCACATGGATTATACAAACGGTACATAACAATCATAATAACAGTATTACCGTTACCAGTAAAAAAGTTAGTATACGCACACAAACAAATTGTTACAGATATATTGAACTACAAATGCAGATGCGATCTCGTCAAATGAGGTGTCTGATGATATAATCGCCAGAGTATTTTAAAATTATAACAAAAAGTTAGCAAATCAGTAAAACCGTCAGAGGTGGGCGGCTCTGGCATACATCATGCGCTGGCGCACCTACACATGCACACAGTATTTATAACGTAAACATATGGCCCGCCTGTACTAGACCGACCAACACCAATGGCAGTAAATTCCTACCTCTATACTATCGCTGAATAAACATTTGGGAAGTTTATGGACAATCAAGCAGGTGCAATATTTAAACAAATTCATCAATATGTCCAGAATACAAAACTCGTAAATATGGTCATAAAAATTAGAAAATAATCCTGTTCTAAACGAATATTCTAATTTCAAATTTAAATTTCTATTTAAAAACTTATTGTTTTATCAGCTACATAAAGGTATAAGTACCTACCCACATTAGTAATGATAAATGTTGTAGTCTAAGATATACGAGGTTTGTCCGGAAAGTACGTATAAAAGTTTTTTAAAAATTTTATTTTACAATTATTCAGGTAAATCAATTTTATCCCCTTCAAAGTACTCCCCCTGTGACATAATGCACTTGTGCCAACGCCGTTTCCACTGTGAGAAGGCTCCTTGAAAGTCCTCTGGTTGTAGGTTTCTCAGCTGCCCCGTCGTAGCTTTTTTTATCTCATTTATGTCCCCCAAATGCCGCCCCCGAAGTACCAATTTGGTTTTTGGGAACAAGAAGAAGTCACACGGGGCCAAATCCGGCGAATAGGGGGGTGTTCGGTCACCGTAATGGAATTTTTACTCAAAAACTCACGGAACGATCTTGGCGCAAATTTTTTTCATTTGAAGTTCGTTTCTTAGAATTTCGTGGACCACGGTTTTGCCCAAATTAAGCTCTTCAGCCACCTGTCTGACCGTTAAACGACGGTCCCCATTAACACAAGTTCGAATTCTTTCCACGTTTTCGTCGGAATGTGAAGTGGAAGGACGTCCTGAACGTGGGTCATCTTGAACGCTTTCTCGGCCCTCTCTGAATCTTTTTAGCCACTTGTGGACGGTTGGTTCCTTCACAGCATCATCCCCATAAACTGTTCTGAGATCGGCAAAAATTTCACGGCCATTCTTGCCGAGTTTCGAGAGAAACTTGATTACGACGCGCTGCTCTTCAACGGAAGCGGGCTCCATGCCGACGGGGTTTCGTTAAGAGGTAACTTCACAGATGGCGTGACAAGCCAGTTCGCACCGCACGGCGGTCAGACCAGAACTGAAGCATTGTTAGGGACATAAGGAAGGGGTCCTGCGCTTACCTGGCCTCCCCACTCCTCTTTCTCGCATTCCAGAACACTTTTATACGAACTTTCCGGACAGACCTCGTATAGGAATGCAATAAGATAAATGGGAGAAATAAACGAATCCTGAATGAAACAAGCTGTAGCATTGTATTGGTCATATAGCTTGATAATAAGTAGCTAAAAACTACTCAAGTGACCCCGTGCAAGCAAGTACAGTGCAAGTGCATACAGCTCTATATGTTTATGTGACATCTATGTAAAGCAGTCGATAAATTGTAATAATGATTATTATAAAATAAATGGAATGTGACGAAAACAATAAAATTATAATAATGGTAAAGCGTTATAAGTACTAGCTATCATATAAGCTTTCGTGTGTTGACAGATTTAGGTCGGAACTTGAAAGGGCAAGATAGCGCGACCGCTAACATTTGAGATAATAACGCCTTAGTCCTCAGGAATGAGAAGTATATGTATATGACCCATACGAAGGAAAGTATAAAATAAACAGGCTGATAAGATTGTTTGCATTTTCAGTAACACAGAAATAGTCAAGTATATGTTATATTCTCAAGTAGATACTAATTGTCTCATGTTTTAATGCTGTTTTAATTACATACAAAATTCGACTTGCACAAGCCATTGAAACTAAAATTCTGGATAAGGTATCTTGTTTTCATCTATCACGCCTTACATTCCAAAGCACATTCGTATTCGTGCTTGAACTGCTGATGAGTGATATATTTAATTCAAACTATTTTGGACTGTACGTCTATAAAGATAAAGTATTAAATGGTTATAATTCTTGATTATTTCCACAACTGCATAGTATACGTTTCGCATTGCCGAGAAACGTGTACCTATTTCAAATTTCATCCGAAACCAGTTTATTAGTGTTGGCCGTCAGTACAGAAACAGCAGCCAGCATTGTTATGATTCCGCTCGCTTCCGCTATTGCTGGCTGACGACTGCACCTTAGGGGTTATTACTCTATCACATACGTGTATATGATATCATAGATGCTACTGAGATATCATATCTAAAGGTTGGAGATATAAATAGAGAGGGAAATAAAAAGTGATTTCACTAGATTATTCCTAAACATGCAAGAACAAGATATTGTTACACTTTTTTATTAATGTAGAAAGTATACCATTAACTTCATAAATTAGTTTAGATATGATTCTGTTGTTTTTGTTTTGTTTTGTATAGATGATATATCACAAATTGTGATAGTGTAATAAGCCCGATATTTCCATGACTTGTGCTCGGAACCGCGAACCGTTTGAAACGTGGATCGTTGACTTGTAAAAATAAACAGGCATCAGTTACCCCGGCACGTAAAGCGTTTAACCAACTGCAATACCATTCGCTTTTTGTTTTCGTTACAGCAATAAATCAAATCAAATTATAAATGATTTATGAGATTTTACCAGAATTAGCCATAAAAAATAAATAAAAATCTAATATTATTCAGGACTCCAGGTATTATTGAATGTCGTTTATTAATTTAATATAAATATACATATTTAAGTAGCACCAGTTGTTTGACAAATTATATGAAAGATAAAGCTATATCTATTGCTTAAACATATGAAAGCAACGAAACGAATCTTTTTATCTGCACTCTAAAGCAATATTTCGAAACTAAAATAAACAAGGAGTTGTCAATAGTGACGGAACTTCACGGTTGGTTGCCGACCTTGTCCCTTCCTGTGGCGGCGCCGGCGCACGAGTTAATCTTGCAGGCTAGATATACTAGCTGCAATTATTTCTATTAATAATAATAAATAAATATTATAATAATACATTAATCATAACATAGTTTAATATTAGTTTAATTCGTATGCAGTTACTACCTACCTTAGATTAATATTTGTCTTTAATGCACGCAACAGTTTAACTAAAGTAGCTTTGTAAATACTTAATACACGTATTACGATTGTTATTACGTTAATTATTGCTACAAAGTTTGAAAAATACGAAATAATATAAATAAAATCAATCCTGACTAATATTATAACTGTGAAAGTAACGAAGTTGCAGATAAAAGCTAGTACAGCTTAAAATTAAAATAGAAATGATAAATCTAAAAAGTTCAGTCTAGAAAGGGTACATGTACAAAAATTTTATAAATAATATTCATTACAATATCTAAACAAACGATGATTAATAACTGATAACAATATGCAAAAATCTTCAACTTATCCAGCGGCCAATATATTTTTATTAATATCCAGTTCCGATTTCTGGTTCCCAGAGAACAATAGAATTTGAAACAAGTATGCCACCCACACTAATCAGAAGTAAACATAAAACAGTCTAGTTTGTATTGAACAGGTTAATTCCGTTTAAGTGCAGCGTGGGAACATGTGAAGTTATATAATGACATGGGTGCAAAAACTGTGAACCGGCGACCCCTGCAGCAAGTGCATAGGGGCAGAACAAGTGGGCTCGACATTACACCACTTTTTAAAAATGTTACCTACACTTCGTCACAGTGTATTTGGTATGCGATAAACACTTGAGTTTTTAAACTCTTAGCTGTCGATGTTGCCTTAAAGATGCACACAGTTTGAAATGCTTTTCAAAAAATCGACCCCTGTGCCGCTTGAATAAAGGATCATCTGCTTGTCTTAACAAAATACTGTTGAAATACAGAATATGTACTGCAGAATACCTACTTAAATTGATTAAAAACAACTTATGCCCTGCAAGATACGTATCGAAAGTAATAATTTTATACCAATAGATTTTTTCTTAGCCTAATATTTTTCTACTTTTTTATGTATTGTTAAACCGCAGAACAATCTCATTTTGATATTATATAAACTCCTTGTAAGTATTTAGCTAATTTCTTTGTAGATCTGACGAAAAATGTGACAAAAAATAGCCAATTTTAATATAAGTATAGACAGATATTTTCAAAAACCTAGTGAATACTTCACTTAATAAACTTTCAAAATATTTTAAAATTACTTTATTCTTATTAAAACTCGAGTTTTATGTAGAGATTTTTCTAACGGTTCCAAAGCAAATTAGCGTGCAGTGCATACTGCTAGACGCCAGCAAAGACACGGATGCGACAACCACATAATCGCGTGCTCAGTAGACTCAAGTTACGGGAATCGTGAAACTCGATGTGTGCGATCCGGTTGATGATCGCAACTCGCACAGCCACACAGGCCTGAGAACTTAGTCCTCTTGTGTGAAGGCTCCCATGTCTGTTATGAAATACGACGGTACTGTTATAGTATGTCACGCAATACTAATTGACGACGCGGTGTCAATGTAGACTCCGACTCATCTCTGCAGTCGCAGCAGGTCTCCGCTTACAAATTCTCAACACATACTTTCTTTATCTCGGAGACAAAAGCTTTTAAACCGGTTCTTTTAATAGCCGCGCCCTCTTCTGTAAATGGTCAGCGAGAATTTAATCAAAATTATCACGGAGCTGCTAAAGCACAGAACCCTTAGTAGCTATTAGCAGTTATTTACGTTTATATTTTATTCCCATTACTTGTGTGAGTGTTAATATATAAAAAAGAACGATCAATTATCTATTTGATTACCTTAATGCTTATTAGATTGTGCAGCACGATAATGTATAACTTGTGATTTTGAAATCATTTCGGTATATATTTATTTGGGGCACCAACCAGATAGGTAGCCTTAAGTCATTATTAAAAAGTAAAAAAATGGTGTTGTTGGTAGAAATTTACATTCAATGAGCATTTTTAAACCTTCATGAACACTACATCTCATAAGTTATAATCTTAATTGACTTACTAATATCAAATATAGGTTAATTCAAACATATAGGTTCCGACTACACAGCAACTAGCAGCAACAAAAGCCACTAATTAGTCGACAGTTCCTCTAGTGTTGCTAACAATTGTCATCAAGTAAACTGCAAGCTCGTTTGTTCAACTTTCCATAAAAAAAAAAAGTTAATCCCGATTAAACTTCATAAATCTCTTATCTAAATCCAATTTTTTTATTAAAAAGGTCCATATTTGGACGATCATGCTATGCATTTGTATTATTGCATAATACAAATATAAATCATAACCGCGTATATAACGTAAGCGTTGGCATTGCAATGAGTGGAATACAAAGATACTAAGTTGAAGGCATGGATAATGACTCACGGAGAAGGCACGCGATACTCGCAGGTCA